TGTGTGTGTGTGTGTGTGCGTGTGTGTGAGTATCCCCTCTCCGCCCCCCTGGGCCCTCTGCACCCTTTTTCCCCCGGGGGGGAGGTGGAGGTGGAAGGGGAGGGAAGAGGGGGAAGGGGAGGGGAGAGGGGGAAGGGGAGAGGAGAGGGAAGGAGAGAGGGAGGGGGGAAACCTTTTGGTGCATGAACGGTGGAAAGAGTGATTTATGTGATGGAGTGATCATTGAGAAACGTTGGCCTTTTTTCTTTTTGTTGAAACTTTGGCCATTTTTGTAGAAGGAAGAAGAGGTAACGAACCCTAAAACCCTAAACCCCGTGATTTGAAGTCATGATCTATCTGAAGCGCTTTACCCTAAGCTTCAGTGAAGGACGAGAGATTATCTGACTCTTCCTTGAATGATCATGTCGCCCACCATAACAGATCATAATACTTCCGTAGCCCTCCCTCTTGATCCGACGGATGCTCAATTGAGAGCATAATGAATTGGTGAGAGCTTTATGCATACCCTCGGAAAAAGAGGGGAGGGAATGGGTGTGTTTGTGCATCTGCATGTGTGTGTGTCTGTGTCTGTGTGTGTGTGTCTGTGTGTGTGTCTGTGTGTGTCTGTGTGTGTGTCTGTGAGTGTGCGAGCAGGCGTTGTGTGTGTTTGTGTGTGTGTGTAAGTGTGTGTGTGTGTGTGTGTGTGTGTGCGCACGCTCGTTGTAAGGAGTTACTTACCATTTGTCATCCACTAGTCCTCCATTTCATTAAGGATTAAACACATAACTCTATGTGTATGTGGGTGTATGTGGGTGTGGGTGGGTGTCTATGGGTGTGGGTTTGGGGGGTTGGGGTTGCGGGTGTGCATATGCATGCACGATTGTGTGTGCATTGCTTTTTGTTTTGTTTTGTTTTGTTTTGTTTTGTTTGGATCTGCAGGCTGTGGACATTCTGGTAATGATGAACTCTTTCGTGCCGAAGTCAGGGAGGATAGAATCTGTGACTGTTTACCCTTCTGAACTAGGGCTGCAGAAAATGAAGGAGGAGGAGGAGAAAGGACCGCAAGCTGTTTTCAAGAGACAGAACAATGGTGGCGATGGTGATAATGAAGATGGGGAAGAGGATGATGATGATGATGATGATGATGATGAGAAACCTGAAATAGACAATGAGAAGCTGAGGAAATATGAGAAAGGTAGAATGAGGTGAGTGGTGCCATACAGAAACCCCTGCCCATGCCCAACAAAGGTTTTTTTTTTTTTTTCCCCGAACATAACATCCTGCGAGGATTGAGCCCTCATGCGGCCCTTCTCGGGCATGCAAATGTTCTGGGCTGTGGCCCCCAGCAAGTTTCGTGCCCACCCTAAGTGAAGGCGGGCCTGAATGTCCACGCGAGGCCTATTTTGGACATTTTTCGTTTGCCAGGTATCAGACAGTTGCAGCACGCCAGTTGGTTACAGAGCAACGTGAGCCTCTCCTGGCTCCTTCCAGAAGCAGCAGCTGCGCCGTACAGTTGAGCCCAGGGCTCAGGTGGTTGCGCCCTGGGCACACACACTGAGAGGCCGACACATCAGGGAGAGGACCAATGAGAAAGCAGATCCAGCATCACACACATGCTACGAGTCAATGAGATCGCTCCAGAGTCCAAACACTTGGAGCCTGGGCAGCTGCTTGGACGTGCCTAACTGCACAGGGCCCAGACCGGTATCTGAAGCTGGGCCTGGGCCTGGGCGCAGACACAGGGGTCTGACTGGAAGCTACTGGAAACTTGCCCAGTCGGGCCCACACAGCCAGACACAGGGCCGCACTTTCCATAAAGGAAAGTGCCCTGCCCAGGCAGGGGCGTTCTGGCCTGGCTGGGCAATGCGGCCACGCTATGTTGCAGGCCGGACGCGCACACGGGTGCTGAGGTGAGAGGGGCAGCGGGCGCACAGCGGCCATAAGCGGGGCTGCTGGGGCGTAGGCGCGTGATGGTGATGGTGGTATTCGGGTAGGAGACGCATGAGGTGGGGAGTGAGGGGGTGATGAGGGAAGGTTCGAGACACGTACCTGGTGTATGCTGGCGGTCTGCATGGGCGATGACGTCACGTACATTGGTCTTCAATGTGTCCTGTTCCATGAAGCTAGTATAGATAGGCTTGAGTAGTGTAGGCTGGGCGCTGGGCGCCACTCAATAGGAGCGACATTGGATACTATGTTGGTGTGGCCAGAGAGCGTCGGCATTGACATTTGGGTTCACCGTATTGCTCATATTTGAATGGTATCTTGGTGCATTGTGCTCTCTGCTTGGTACATGGCTATGTGGATTACTTCGTGATTTTGCAATTTGGGATTCTGTCTATCGCTCTCGCTTATATTCCTTGCAATCTCGCTCTTTTTCACTTTTGCCCTTTTGCCCTTTTGCCTTTTTGCCGATTTGCCATTTTGCCCTTCGCCTTTTTGCCCTTTTGCCCTTTTGCCCTTTTGCCCCCTTTTGCCCTTTTGCCCTTTTGCCCTTTTGCCCGAATAACAGAGCACATGGTATCACATGCCCCTCTGCGTATGGTTCATCACAAACTCTGATAGAAAGCCAAAAAAGGAAACCAAAAAGGAGAGCCACAGCTCCTTCCTTTGGGTGGAAGGGGGAGGCGAGTTCCCACCACCACCCCAACACTCGAGAGTGGACGAAATCCAAAAAAGGAAAGCCACATGCCCCTACGGTGGGCAAGTTTCTACACTTTTTCTATTTTTATTTTATGTCACCAGCTTTTCCTTTTTCTTCGTTTTCGCTTCCTTTCTCTGCCTTCCCATCCCTTTCCTTTCCCTCTTCTTTTTTCTTTGGGTCCCCCTTCTCTTTCCTTCTTTTTTTTTGTATTCCTCCCCTTGAAGGACAGGGTGTTGTTCTTGGAAGAGAGGAGGGGGGGAAGGGGGGCATCATTTCTGAACTGGCACTGTGATCGCACAACATGACTGCAAGACCTGAGAACCCCCTTTTGCCCCCTTGGAACCCAAACCCCATCCCAGGAACCCCATGGCCCCAGGACATACACCCTATCAATTAAACGCTTCCACAAAGGATCATTACACCTCCGAATCCCCCAAAGCATGGCCTTTTATTTTCTTTCTTTGGCTGTCGCGTGTTTCACATCTTGCTGTGACCTGATTTTAGCTTATTAACTGCAACAAATGCCAGATACTTCTTTGCAGTGATTGTGTGCGATAGCCCGGCCACGGCAGACGTGCTCTACAAGTCGTGCGATGGGCTGGAGTTTGAACGATCGTCGAATATCTTGGACCTGCGCTTCATCCCAGATGCAATGACATTCACACAGCAGCCACGAGACAGCGCAACAGAGGTATGTGGATGCGCAGCAGCATGCCCCCTGAATCTGCAACCCCCGGCTTCTTTGCATCCAAATTTGTCTCTTTTTTTTCTTGCTTGTTTTTTTTTCCTCTCCCGCGCCAGATATCCGGCGACTCTCCCATTTCGGGCTTGTACCTGGCACCGTTTGCTTCGCTTGTCCGGCGTTCTTTCTCTCATCTTACAGTTCTCGTCCCTCGGCCTCTCAGTTTTCTTCAAGTTTCTTTATCATACTCTTTTTCTGTTTGGTGGCTCGATGTCCTGAAAGATGTCAGATTTTCTGAAGAAGAAATCGCTACGACGTCGGGCTCCATCACACGAAAAATCTGGATCCATGTCATTTGTTGAAGAAAATGGTTCCTTGCCGTTTTCTGAAGAAATCGTTTTCCAAAATTCCATATGGTTTGCAAAGTGTTTCCTTTCCTTTTTTTTTTTTTTTTTTTGAAGTCTTTCTGGAATCTATCATTTGGGAACCTTTGCCAGTTGCTCACCACGAGTGGTGCAATATCCCCTGCCCCACCACGCCCATCCGCGCACACCCCCCCCCTCCTCCCCCACCACAAAAAAAAAAAAAGTCAGTTGCTAATTGGACAATATGTTGTGGGGTTACCTTTTTTAAATGCGTCTGTTATATTGTCTCTCTGTTCTGCTGAAAAAAAAAAAAAAAAAAAAGATTCCTGCAGATTACAAGGCGCCATGCTTCCACACGCGGGCGTTGCAGCACAGCAGGGTGAAATTGACTTGGGATGACGACGAGCCATCACGACTGGTCACACTGAGGCGCAAATTTACTGCTGATGAGGTGAGTCATGCATGCATTCATCAGATTGGTAAATGGCTCTCTGAGCAAACCGCTGATGGGAAGTGGGGAAGTGGGGAAGTGGGGTGGAACAGGAGAGTAGGGTGGAAAGGGGGGAGGGGGGCGGGAAGGGAGGGAAGCAGGGAAGGGGTTGAAATCTCGGATATCAGTTATGAAAGCCTGGAGTATTAATCCCTGTGGAAAATACTAAATACTATTTCCATTATAAGGGCATGCAAGACATCTTCGGTTCTGGATTAGTCACAGTCTCCGTAATTCCTACTACTGGTAGTACTTGCATGGGGAAATCTCTCTCTCTCTCTCTCTCTCTCTCTCTCTCTCTCTCTCTCTCTCTCTCTCTCTCTCTCTCTCTCTCTC